TCTGAGATGATGTCATAATTTGTGAACGGTCCTTATCAACAGTAAAATGAATATTTAGATATTTAATGTTCACTTGGGGATTCCAATGTGCATGCTAAGACGACAGGAAATATTTACTATTAAGTAAGTGATAACATAATTTTACGACAATATCTGTTTGAATTTGAGTATCTCCACTAGACTACCTGATCTAGATCTCTACATTTACAATAAAGCATTTGAACAGTGGCGGTGGATAGTGAAGGGCTCACGGGCTCAAGAGCCCCCCTTCCAACCCCCCAACTATATCCCAAAGCAAATGAAAATAACGAAATAGCAGTTGAAACCGTTATGATCGCACGCAATGAACACAGAGTGATCAACTTGGCGGCTTGCTAGTTTATTCAATCACTGTTGCCATCGCTTACAACTATAGTAACCTAACAGCCAATCAAATGTCTTTCGGGCTCAGGAAAGGATGAGCCCGTTCCCACAGCCCCTCGTTAATGAAACTCTCACTGTTAAAATGTAGAAGACTTGAAAAATTAACATTGCACAGAAGGCTCACACTGTCCTAGCCCTGACAATGGGGTGAAAGTTTACGACCCACTTCCCCCCAGTGACACAGTTACTTACGCTCCCATTGGACCTTTGTTAGGTGCTGTCTGCTTAATTATTGTTTTCCCCGACTACACAGCCTAATCCAGCTCTAATTAAGTTCATGGAGTGCTGTGTTCATGCATGTTTGCGTGTGTGCCGCTGAAATTTAACAATGATTAATTACACGAAACCACTTTTGAGGCAACTTTTTTTTTAATCAGGTGAAAATTAAAATTAGAGAAGTTTGGAGGGGAAAAGGTTTCGTCCCCAGCATCCAGAAGAATTATAGAGCACGTAGAACAAAGAGAAGGAAGACAAAGATGAATCTTCTCGTTTGAATGGTTCTCAAAAGGAAGCCTTCTCAAAATGCCGTGGCTCGCCGTGAGTATGGATGGAATAATCACCACTGTTTTGTTCTTATGTTGCTTGCTATTTGGTGGTAAAGAAGTGAAAGCAACCTAAGCCTCACCCAAATTTTGGTCTACCTACCGCCACTGCCTTTGAAAAGGAACAAAAAATTCCCTTGTGAAATTTGATATACTGCTTCAAACATGACTATTAATTATAAATTAATAATAAAAATCCAGGACTAATGTGTGGCTATGGGATAATCCTTCAGCAGATTTTTTGGGCCTAAAATTAATAATGAAATTGTGAAGAAGGAAACAATATTATCACAGTGTGAAGTTGCAGTTGAAAAAAAAAGAGTAAGGGCGGGAGATTTGAGAGGGTCTGGTGTTTTAGAAGAAGGGAGAGAGGGGGAAACAATCCATTTCCTTGTCCTGATTGATTGAGGCATGACGACTCCATCAGGTGTTTTGTTTGTTTGTTTGTTTTAGTAGAAGTTTTACGGCCCTCGCAACTGCATAAAGGTCATATGAGCGCCAGAAGACTAGAGGTGTTACAAGAGAGTAACAAACATAAAAAAGAAGAAGGGGAAAAGACGATAGATGTTTGATAGGAAAGAAGGAGCAGACTACACCAGCGAGCACCCGCCAACCACCCACACCATCAGGTGTGAAAGAAGAAGAAGAAGAAGAAGAAAAAGAAGAAGAAGAAGAAGAAGAAGAAGAAGAAGAAGAAGAAGAAGAAGAAGAA